ATCGAGTACAACTTCAAATCGTCCATTCTTGGTGAATTATGCAATGTAGCCTGTTGAAATTCATGTGCATAACTAGTTTGTTCAATCTCATTATAATCACCTAAAAAATCAATTCTAATGCCCCTTTCATCTTCCTTCATAGTATGGATTCGACAAATCAGAATGAACAAGCAAGCCACGCTTCACTTCAAGTTCATAGGAATCTCAAAAATTAATCCATGAAAAGAAGCGAGGAAGTGAAGATAATAATGTTTTCTTGAAGAAATTACTTGAAAGATTCCTTGATTTTCACCCTTCTTTTTGCTTGGTTTTTATCAAACTCTTCCCCTCTCTTCTTGACCGACGCTTGGACTGAAAGAATGGGTGGCAAATGGACGTGTTATCTTCTTCCACATCTTCAATAAAAGATATATAATAAACATTATTAGAGAAATTCCTTCCCATGTCTTTAAATGAAATTGGCAATATAATCCCTCCCTTTTTGTTTTCCCTTCAACCTCTTGGCAAAGCTCCTAATCTTTTTTAATCACTTTACTTTAGTCCTAAAAGGTATCACCAAGTGTATTTAATATTCTAACCCTCACTTAAGAAACTTCATACTCAAATTAACCGCAGGTTTTTTGAAGCTTTCCGGGTTAAAATCGCCGTTGCTTTAGCCCAAGAAGTCATGGAGAGGTTATGAACCTGCTATGTACGTGCACGTGTGTGAGATCAACTTATGTCATTTTTTTATTTCCTTTAATCTTTCAAATTGATTTGTAATCACATTCATGGTACCATGTTAATTAATATTCACATCTCACCCCTCAAATATATAAGTATAGTTTCCTCCCCATTATTTTAGGTTTTTCCTTTCATTCCGGATAATACCGATAATTCATTGAAAAAGCTAGAATAGGAAGAACTACAAAGTTTGAGGATATTACAAGTAAAAGTGTGGAAGACAGTAATTAAGATATTTAAGTTTGGTTTTTCAAAGAAATCGTACTAGTACTGTTGTTATGGGAGAAAAATATGGATGTTTACTACCGAAGAAAATTTTTCGATTAATTTTTTGTGCAAGCTTGAGCATAATCTTTGGTCATCCTAATGCTTTTGTGACTCAACTTAGGAACACACGCTACAGACCAGGTGCATCCTTGGGCAGATTGAAGCAAAGCTTGTAGGAACTCTGTGCAATATAATGGAGTGTATCCCATTTGAAAGGGTAATTACATATCACCCTTTGTATATCGTAAAGTATAACTTTTAATTATCGCAATTGTATTATTAAATCAATTATACTCATAGCTTCAATGCTTTCACAAAAAAGCCACTCGCTCGAGCAATACACGACGAAAAGTTGAAGGTCCTATTGCTAATGCATACCTTGCTGAGAAGCCACTGCAAACTTTTTGGTACACCGCGATTGACTCTTTTGAGCCATCACAATGTTTAAAGCACAAACATCATCGACCGCCGTGCCAGCACGTCGAACAGGTATTCGAATCGTCGATGACAGGGGGTGCCTAATTCCAGAAATAAATTAGAAAGGAATTCATCTAAACTGTTTTAAACCATACTCAGGTGCATACCATATGCAGAAAGCAAGAAAGAAAAATAGAGGTTTAACATGGATTAGAAGTGACAACTCCACGCTGCTCAAGTATTTATATCCTTTATGGAATTGTGAAGAAGTTTCTGTCTCTTTGTGTTAAAGTAAGTTGCAATTCCTCCAAATTTTAAAATCACTAATTTTGCTAACCTTCTATAATTGTATAGATAGAGACTTGCTAACTTTACAGCTTGATATGATCCTCCAATACTTCAACAAAGCATATATAAATACGACCCCAACTTTCGCGGCAATTCAGATACCAGCCAATTCGAGGTGACATTGACATGATATGAGGCTAGAAAAGAATTCCAAACAGTGGTTCAAGACCATTATAGTAAGAACAATAGCATTATTGCAAAATCAATTAATTATTCCTTTTATTACGTTCCACATACGAATAATGTTGTAATAAACTTTATGCATTTTAATTCGTCCAGTGAATGCCGGACAGAGTTGATAACTCAGTCACAAATCAATTCATTAAGGAACCTTGCCTTTGGTTCCATTGTATACATCTCCCATATAATGGATATTTTGTCCATAGGGGTATATAACATTTCACATCGAGACAACGAGAAAAAGAGAAATGACATAAAATGAGTGGTGTATGCATAAATGGGTCAAATTATAGTGCCTAGTGTAGTGATTTCCTATGGGCTAGCTATTAGGAGGCTGTTTAGAGTTAAGAATACCAGTATTACCAATCAAGAGAACCGACGTTATTCAAATGTGAGTGGTTTAATCGCGACACGTAGGCCCGGCCAAATGTGGGCATGAAGTACATGGTAAGTTAAATGTAATGATTTAAAATCATAGGAGACCTTAATTCTAGAAGTATGAGCCATTCATTCTTGCAATTGGTAGCTTCTCAATGTTTAACTACATAAGCTATCCGTTTTGAGAAGAGATAGGAGTGAACTAGCTCTCAGTTTAGCAGTTGAAGGCAACAGACCCACTCCATAGTTAAATTCTAGGATCCACATTGATTGTAAAGCATTGTCAACAATGATGACTTCATGATATTTCACACATTGGACATAATGAATTTGGATGATTTCCTATAAACATTGAATGATCCTACTGGTGCGGATGGTTGATAATACAACAAATGGAAAGAATGAAGAAGAAAGTATTAGAAGAAGAGCATTGATTCAACATCAGATTAGCTGAAGAGCTGAAGATGAACTTTCTGGGAAATAATGATGACTGATGTAAGCTTTATAATAGATCAATTTGTATTGTAAATTAGAGAAGATGACTATGCTTTTTTTTTTAACAAAAAAAAAGATTCTAAATACTATATTATATACAAGCTATAATTTTATTAAACCTTTAAATTTATGCTTACTTTGACAATTTTAGCAAATTAATTGCCACTTTGAAAAGTATGATTACTCATTAT